CACTAAGTTCTCAAACAGAATTTTTCTTACTTTGCCTGTCTGTAAATTTTTATTATTGATGGAAATATTTTTGTCAGTTTGTGTACATGGTGACATTGATGTTTACTGACGTTTATCAATAAAAATCGAATACTTCCAAGCCCAAGTATGAGTAATGTCACTGTTCTAGGAGAACAAGGCAAAGAAGACTGGTCAGACTTCTAGCGATCTTAAGGAGGCAGTAACTGTCGCAATTAAAAAAAAAAAGTAATTAATTCTGTTTTATTACACACTCGTGTTTGCTCTGGGAATTTTACACAGCTTGTGAAGGGGTCTTTTTTTGTGTAAATCTTGGCAATTCCTATTTTTCAGAAAAATAATATTAGCATGAAAACAGGAAGGGGTCAAGGGCTAGTAACCCAAATGACTGAGAAGCCTTCTCTGTATTTAGCAGGCTCCGCTTGTCAATGGATTGTCTGCCCTTTTAGGAAACTTTTTTTTCTCTAAAAGAAATAATCAAAGCTTAACTCTAATCCACTTGCTAAATAGGTTGGCAAGAATTTTAACATGTGTGCAGGGCAATCTGTCTATATGAGGAACACATCTTAAACTTTACCTTTCTTGGGATTCATTGTAGTTTAATTTACATTACAGACTCTGCCATGTCTCAATTCTGAGCACCTTCAAGAAAACATCAGTCTATAAAAACGTGAATGAAATCAGTGGGGAAAAACCATCCAGCCTTTCAGTTGACCATACCCTTAAACTGTGTTTGAATATATGCCTTTATTTTTCTCATATTTCAATCTTAGTTGATCTATAACATCCTAGGAGATTTTTCAAAAGTTTCAACTGGAATTACAGATTTAAATAGGATGATGGAATAAGAGCTCATGATTCACCCATATGGTTGAATTCTAGGTAACTTTACATTGTGGTGTTTATCAACCCCATCTGGCCTCATTTGTAACCACCACTTAGACCATCTTCATTGTACAACTAGAGGTTAAAAACTTCCAGTACAACTTTTTATTAATCTCTGAAATGCAATTTTCCCAGTTATTTACAGCACAAAGTTGTATAGATTCTTCAAGTATATTGAAAACAGAGATGTGGCCAAATCGGTTCTGAAGGAAAGGGGGCTCAAGAAGATTCGACTGGGTATTGAAGGTATGAGTAATTTTGTATTGCTTCCAAGCTAATCCTTTGGCAAAGGACATTTCTGTGCTTCTGCCTTTCTGTACAGCCTCTGTTCCTACTTTACTATATGAGCTATTGTAAGTCAGTGGTATTAGCCTATTAGTCTTTTGGAAACTAATTTGTTCACCCTGTTGGCTTATCTTGTGTCCAGATTCTAACATACTTTCTTACTGCAGACCTTTTTTTGATTTATCAATGAGTGGTGGATGGTTCTGCTGCATCCTGTGACCTTAATTATGGATTTCCTATTTTTCAGGTGTTTTCTTTGCCACCTAAATAATCTCATAATGGAGCTTTTAAATGTAAAATTATATATAAAAATATTGCCCATGCCCTGCTCACATAGGCACACTGACCCCTCTCACACAGAAAGCTGCCATGACTGGGCTGTGGGGGAAGAGAAAGGAAGGAAGGAATTGGGTTACTCTGAACTTTAGGGAGCTTTAAGGATCTTGTCCTCTGTCCCATTTCATGACTAGAGCAGCTGGTAGAAAAATAGGAAAAGTTTTTTAAGCTTACTGAACACTGGTTTTCCATAAATAAGAATTTTGTAACTCAAAAAAGCAATAAGCCAGATTTTATGGAAATTGTCAAGCAAAATTCTCCCCCAAAAGTAGTTTGAACAGTGTTGGCCAGCTGTATTTATGACCATCTTCTTCTAGCCTAGACGGGCTGGACGCTGGTCTCTTTAGACTCCATTAGCACAACTTTGGTCAGGCAAAGGACAGCTGAAGTGTTTAGTATCCCTAAATTTTTAGAGCATGAGTGCAGGAACAAGAACTGAGTTAGTCTTGAACTTGGCTCCCAGAAACCCAGTAGCTGTGATTTAAGGGAAGTGAACTTGTCGATGATCTTAAATAGTCTCACAAATGCAATGTTTCCACTTGCCAGGTTGGGTGAAGCAGCTGGATGATTCTAGCTCACTAACCTAAAATATGCATCCAATTGTTTTAGAATTGGTCATGTTCTCTAAAATATATTGAATTGAAAACTGTATTAGTCCTGCAACCCTATTTTCATTTATACACTATTAATTAAAAAGAAAAGGAGTACTTGTGGCACCTTAGCGACTAACAAATTTATTTGAGCATAAGCTTTCGTGAGCTACAGCTCACTTCATCGGATGCATTCAGTGTCACAAGCACTCCTTTTCTTTTTGTGAATACAGACTAACACGGCTGCTACTCTGAAACCTGACACTATTAAGTGTGTTTCTACCTTTACTGCTGGTATTTAGATTCCAACTTTCTTGTTTTGAAATGAGAGAAAACAGCTGCTATCTATCTGTCTGGGCCCCCACAGAAATAAAACTGGAGACAATTTTCCATACTTAGTAATGAGAAATAAAATACCACTTGGCTGCATTTTTCTCCTCCTACCCCCAAAACAAATATGGAAATCAGTTTTGCTTTGCTGCGCAAGTTATAGTAATATATTATTGTCACTACTCAATGTTTTAGGTAGTTTGAAATGAGGGGGGAAATGCTTGGGACCCAGCCTGGAGTACTCATGCCAGTACGTTGTTATATCAACAGTCTGGGGGTTCACATCTCAAACCTCATCCCTTGCTCTCCAGGTCAGTAGTGCTGTGAGAGTAGCATACTACGTTCTGCCTGGAGGGGAGAGTTACCAGCATTACTTTTGCAGGCACTCTCTTCAATAGGTCCAGAGAGAGTTGCTTTAGTAAATGGCCTTAGTATTTTTTCTCCTTGGATTTTGGCTAATGTTTATCAGCTTTTGTGTTTGGTTTGTAAACTGGGGGAATGCATGATGTTTAAAAAAAAAAAAAAACAACCCCAAAACATGGTGATGTCTGCATCATTCTGTATGCTAATCTGGAAATGGACCTGCTTATCTTCAATGTGTCTCAACCTTCTGGTTGGCTGGTTATGTACATGCTTTGGAGCTGAGCTGGTGAAGGAGAACTTTGAGCTAAGTAGTAATGGAAACTTTAATTGTCATCTTGTTCTAATACCTTTAGGTTACCCCACATACAAAGAAAAAGTGAAGAAACGGCCAGGTGGGAGGCCAGAGGTGATTTACAACTATGTCCAAAGACCATTCATTCGGATGTCATGGGAAAAAGAAGAAGGAAAGAGTCGGCATGTTGACTTTCAGTGTGTAAAAAGTAAATCTATTACAAACCTAGCAGCAGCTGCAGCAGATATCCCCCAGGACCAGCTAGTGGTAATGCACCCCACACCACAAGTGGATGAGCTGGATATTCTGCCTATTCATCCTCCACCCAGCAACAATGATGTGGACCCGGAGGGACAAAACCCAGCACTCTGATTCAGATTCTTATTCAAACAAAAGCATGCTACTTTAAAAAGTGACTCTCTCTCTCATACTGCACTGCAATTCCAGCTTTTCTTCATTGTGTAACACAGTGTTTAGGATATTGCAGAATGGGCTCTCTTGGAGACCAAAGGAGTATCTAATCATGGTTTTTAAAGAGTACAACTAAAACATTCTGAGGTTCCAGTTACGTACATGTATTTGTTTGAGTAGGTTTGCGATATTGGTTATTTGTATGCTGGACTGTCCTTCTAGGCCCATCAAAAACAATGGGATCTGCTGGCTACTGTAAATTCAATATTGTTACATGGAAGGCAAAATGCAGAATCAGAATTGATAGTAGCACTTTATGAATGGCTGCTTGATAAATGGATTCTCAAAGCCATTTTTTCTAAATGTGTTGCACAATGCTAACTTTAACAAAGTGCTTCTATCAAAGTCTTTCTACTCATTTAAATGTAAATAGTTTGCTCTAAATAGGTGGACTCTTAAATGTATTGTATATGATTGAGCACAAAATGATTACCACTGGGGTTTTTGGATTGAGGACATTATTCAATTACCCATTTAACATCCTGCCCAACTCAACTTTCTCCAGTGAATTTTTTCACTTGTTTGTAATGTGAACCATGTTGAAGGATTGTGAACAATTGTTAGGGGGATTTCTCTTAAATTTTGCCTTATCTGAATTTGTTGATGGAAATATTTATTTACTAAAAGTTTGTAGTAAGTCTCATGGAATAGAAAAAATGCAGATGGTTCACTTTTCATTTATTAAATGATTGTAAATTCAATTTTTTTCATTCAAATAAAATTTCCATTATTTTAATCAGTCTGACAAATGAATTATCCCTTACCAAAGACTATATATTATACTAGGTATAAATTCCAGTGACTATCTGTGCACTTACTCCTTCTCCATCTCTAGTCTTAAGGAGAGAGGAGGAATATAATGTGTTAATGATGGAAGGAATGGTGTCAGTCTTCAATTTTCCCCTTCCTTGTCAGCCATCAAATACCAGTTAGATTCTCCCGTGCTGGGATTCCTATCTTCTGAATTAAAATATTAAAAATTGTTCGCCTCTTGACGCCAAATAGATAAGAGGTGGTTTTGCTCGGGAGGTTACTAGAGAAGCTGTTTTGACTACAGGACATACTTACAAGAGGCAGAAATGTCAGAAACAATCAGTCTCCCCTCTTCCCCCTGCCCCAAAAATAAAAACCTGATGACATTCCTCCATTAGGCAAAAGTAAGGCAATATGGTTAAACTGTAATTCTCTCCATTTATCAAATGGATGCACTTCCAAAGATAGTTCATGATAATTTTTAAGTTACTGGAATTATAGAAGAACCAAATCTATAAAAAAGCTCACATTTTAGCAATGTGTTTAACTGTAAAGTGTGTGTATATGAAATTGGCTGAAAGCAGTGAGCGGAGAATGAAGCCTTGGGACTGAATGTTTCTCTTTTTTTCCATTTTGAAAGTAACAAGGCACAATCTATGGCTTCTACCATACTTAAGTGGGTTTTATCAGAAATTTTTTTATTACAAAAAAGTAAATGCTGCATTTTAGAACAAGGGAAACATATTTATTTTAAAAATATTTAACTGTCTAATACATTACACTTTAACAATATTTATAGTAAAGGATTCTGACAAGAAAGAATAAACAGCTTTATGATACAATTAGTATAAGAAATATCCACATGGGGGACCTTTTTGTAGTGTAAAAACACATCATACATCTGAAACAACCATTTGCATATAAAAGCTACCAATGAGAACAGTGCTGAGTTGCACAGTGATTAAAAAAAATTCAAAAAGAACAGAATCCCAAAATATACAGTTAATGCAAGCTATACACAGCTAACCAAATCCATAATGCAAGAACACTGTAGCATGTTTATCTCCACTTTGTCTGAAATGACACATGGTCGGATGAGTTGTGTGTTCTGATATGGCTTTTATGAAATTCATACATAAAAGCTGTTCTCATAATCCAAGCTTCACAGACTGTAGAACTCCACCAATAATGCACTTTGATATTCAGATGCTGAATTAATATGTAGCATTTACAAGGGCCACGGTAAGTCGCTGAAATCCACAGGGCCTCCGAGGCCTGCATCTGCTTCCAAAAGGCTCATTATAACTGCCATTGCAGCTTCGTCGTTGCTGGGGCTGCTTGATCCTTGGTCGTTGTCTATCATATCTATGCCTATGTGAGAGTTCTCCCCTGTGAAAGAATTAAAAGAAAACTACAGTAAGCATTTAAAATATTATTTTACATATTGTATAAAGTGATTGGTCAGAAAAAAGTATCAATTATTAACTGAGTTGGAAGTGAACATGCTAAACTGCATTCTGATAGGTGGGGGGATGTTTGATTGCAAATGCACTCATCAGCATACAGTACACAGCTGGGATCTCACCCCAATGACAGAAAAATTCCCTACAGGATTTGTGCTAACCGTGGGGCTAAATGGGGAGTTAGTGGAGGACAAGGGCTGTCAGAGGTGTGTGAAAGGGGGAGAATGTCAGGGTGAGCAGTTTCAGGTAACCAATGTGCCAGCCTGGTGGGGGGCCTTGGCCACTTCCAACTCACTCTATTTAAAAAAAAAAAAATCCAATTTCATTTTTTCAGTAGAATGACTTGAAAATGGCTATTGGGCTGTTGAAAAGAAGCCAAACTTTTAAGGGATAGGAAGTGAGAGGCTCAAACAGTCTAAGGAAAATGTTTTGTGTTGAAAACCGTATAGGGTAGATGTTTATAAAACATTATTTTCTTATCATTTTGCTAGGGGAAATGGTTCCCCTTCATCTGGGAAAGATTCATTGCATAAACTACCATTTTAATTGTTTTGTGAATGAGCAAGAGATCATGTCAGGGTGTGCACAGAGCTGAGGTATGTCAACAGACACCATGTAAAAATAGGGCTTACTGCTATAACCAGTTAAGTATAACGTATTTATCAGCACAGAGCTTTAAAGGCATTTATTACTAATTTCTTTTTGAAGAATATTACTTGGACTTGATGTCCTAAAATGTTCTTAAGCCTAATTTTATTCTAGATAAAGTTTTGTGTAAAGATGATGCTTTGAGATGGCTAGAGTTACATTTGTCATACACCTCTGAACTACAGACTTAATTGTATGACTGTGCTTACCAAGAATGGAGGAGTTGTCGGAATATGGATAGCCAGAATTATCCTGGATCTGCCCAGATAGTAAACCAGCAGCGGGAATGTCTGGAGTTCCACCATTCAAAATCTAGAAACAAATGAAAAATGTAAACTTCTAGTGTCCTATGGTACTCACGCTGCTCTCAGCCTTAACCTATGTAGCACATCTGAAAAAGGAGGACCTACAGCAAGTCTTAGGATCCAAACATATGAACTTAAACTGCGTTCTAGTGAAACTTCACAGCAGGATACTTTAATATTGATGTGGTGAAGATTGGGGGAGATATGCGAGACAATCTACCTGCAAACCAACTTTGTTAAAGTTAAACGCCACCTACAACATGAAATTATCTTAAAATGCTTCATGCTTACTATTGTATCAATAATTTTAAGCCTCAGTGGGGAATAGGCAAAGTTTATTTGCCCAGTGAAAGTGCACATTGCTTTGACACTTCTCAACCACTAGAAAGTAAGGGAATTGCTATAAAAGGTACTGTAACCAATGATCTTTACATGCAGGGCTTTCTTCAGAAACACCTGCTTTTTATACACAACAACATTGCTTAATTTTTTATTTATTTATTTATTGGCAACACTGGGTTCTTGCTGTGGAATTTCTAAGTTCCACCACTTGTCGATTTCAAATAGAGCGATCTATAAAATGCATTTGAACCTTCACCTCACCCTGCAAGGTCAACGCTGTGAGGTTGTAATGATTTTGTCTAACTCCTGATGCCTAGAAAGTGAGTATTTATTTGTAATCTGGGTAGTGCCTACGTGCTGTGCAAACATACAGGCTACAGTCCCAACCCTGAAGAGCACACAATCTCTAGTGTAACCCTCTTGATACAGAGTGCCACGGGTTGCTCAGCTTGTTCTGGCTAGTAACATTCCAGTGGTGAGTATCTGCGCTGCAAAGACCCCACCGGATGCTCTAAGTAGAGATGGAGGGTTTTTTTGCCCCACACCCTAATATAATGGGTAATCAGGAAGCAAAAACAAATTTATGATTCTAGTTGAAACTACTCGGCTGTGCTTATATTAGAGGTCATTTAGTTCTGAGCTTGCTCTAAGGAATATATCCACAAGAATAATTAAGCAAAATATAGCCTGATGCTCCACTGCCCTGCAACTTGTCCAGTTATTTCCATCTGTAAAGTGAGTGGAAAGAGGATGGAAATGACTAATTGAATTGGTAGCATTTTTACTCCCATTTTGCTTCCTTCCTCTGGGTGTGGTGATTTATACTAGTGCAGAGAGTCAGGCCCTTTGACTAACGGCTTCTTGAGATGGGAAAGATTTAGGTATTACCATGGTATAGTTACACTGGTTTAACCCCTCCCCCAAATCTGGACACTTGGTCTGGTATAAAGCAGCAGTTTTCAGTTTTTCTTAAACCTGTTTCCAAGTGACATAAGCTAAACAAACCAAACCAAAAAGCACTCTTCTCTGAGATTGTCCCCCCACGTGGGGATTTTGCTGGTGTAACTGCAGCTGTTCAAATTCACGCCTCAGGTAATATCAAAAACCATTCTTGTGTAGCTAAGACTTCCGTTTTTTAGCCTTATATTCATGTCTAGTTTCTCCATAAGTAAATCTCTTTAATGGCATTTTCAGTGGTGATCTCTTCAATGATACACTAGCTGAAACTGCTTGCAAAGCAGCCCTACTTCCTTCATTGTATGGACCCCCCTGCTCTCTTTCTAGAACCAAAATGGAGTGCTTTCCCTCCAGGGGGGCACCGGTGCGGCGCCTTGACTTTCTGGCCAAAGCTGCACATGGAGTTGGTAGTTTCTTTATAGCAGCGTAGGTTACGAGAAGAGACTACTCCCTTAGGGAGCGCTCCGCAAGCTGATGTAGTGTACAAAAATCCTGACACGCGAGCAGCAAGTATAACAGCAATGCTACACTTCACCCCTGGCTCCTGGGGCAAGAGAAACAGCGTCAGGATACAATCACAGTTAAGTTTTGTTACGTCATAGAGGTAGAGGTTGTAGTAACATTTTACTTTAGTTGGGAGAGGGGGGTGAGTTCTCCTCCCACGGTACTCTTGGGGTTTTTTATGCTTTCTGTATTTTCTCCAAGGGAATTTGAATTCCATGATGCGCTCTACCTGTGAATGTGCCTCAAGCAATGTGCATACTACGGTTTACGTTGGTATAAATTATGTTGCTGGGGGTGTGAATAAGCCACCCCTCCAAGCAATGTAAGTTACCCTGACCTAAGTGCAGGTTTGGACAATGCTATGGCCATGGGAGAAGCTCTCCTGCCGGCATCGCTACCGCTCTTCGCAAAGGCTCCTGTTGGCTTAGATCTTCTGCCCTAGCAGCACTTCAGCGGCAAGCTGTGTAGTGTATCCATAGCCTTAGTCTGATGGGATTTCTATGCTGCTGATGCTACTGCAAGGGTATTTATGATACTAACTTCTTTAAACAAAGAAAGAGTGAACTATAGGGCTGCTGTCACTCACTGATTTGTCTTAAATAAATTTTTAAATTTGTCTTAAATAAATTTTTAATAAATGCTTATGTCTTTCATAAGCATTTATTAAAAATGGAGCAAATAACTTCTGTTCTCGGTCATCTAGACCAGAGGTGAGCAAACTACAGCCTGCAGGACAGTCCTGCCCAGCCCCTCCCCCATAGCCATGCTGGCTGTATGCTCATGCAGGGCAGTGTGGCAGCCAGACATGCTGCTCTGAGCAGCATGATAGGGGGGCTGGGGCTGGCTAAGGGGCACGGGGGTTCCAGGGGGCAGTTGGAACAGAGGGTGGGGGTGGGGAGTCAGGAGACGGGGAACAGGGGGTAGTGGGATAGGGCAGAGGTTTGGAGGGGGTTAGATAGGGGGTGGGGTCCCAGGGGCTGTTGGGGCAGGCACTGGCAGGGGGGGGGAAGGAGGGGTTATATGGGTTGAGGGTTTTGAGGGGGGCAGATAGGGGCCAGGCTGTTTGGGGAGGCACAGCCTTCCCTACCCAGCACTCCATACAGTTTTGCACCCCAATGTGGCCCTTGGGCCAAAAAGTTTGCCCACCCCTGATCTAGACCCATGAAACTCCTAACATGAGCTATACATTCAGAATTTGAAGTATCAAAATGTTGTGTTCTCTGAGTCACTGTGGTTTGTATTAGAGATACTTCATTGCCAACCTTTTGAAAAGTAATATGAAATCAGCTGTACTACAATTTACTATTTTCACTACTTTGAATGCCTGGCTTGCAAACTTTTGTGCCTACTGATTTAACCACAGTATGATTGTTGTTGTTTTACAGCTACATTTTCCTTTTGTACACTGGCTTAGATGTGTGAACTGCTATAGTTAGTACACTGCTGCCATTCTGGCTACAGGGGAAATAAATTAAACAAGTAATCGCTAAAATTAAATGTAGGGCACTACCTCTGGATTGATTCTTGGCAAGAATATTTTCACACTGAAATGTCTGGGTTAATACACTAGCTTTTACCTGAGGAGATGAAAATTCACCGCCTGACTAAGGTCATACTTCATCTCTTGTCTCTACCCAACCTTATTATAAAACCACCATACAGATCAGCATGATTGGCTTTCAATGTTTAAGAGTACAGGACTGGCACAGCAAGGCTCATGTCCATTAGTTTACATGTGACTCATCTCATTTTCATGAATCCTACAGTTACCACAAACCTAGCAAAAAATAAATCAGACTTGTTTGGTAGAAAGCTGGGGGTCATCATGCCCACTCATCTTTGCAGCCTAAGGGATGGATCATCCATAGTAAGTGTATTTGTTGGGATGCAAAATCTAGATGAATCCTAGGTTCCAGGTGATGATGGCTTGTAACTGCTACATGTTACCTGAGGGGATACTATCCAAACACTGAAGCACTTTGAGTTGTTTTAGTGCCTGAGTGTATGATTATGCAATTAAATCTTTTTAATAAAGAAAAAGTCTGGTTACCTAAAGTAAAAGCAGCAATGTTAAAGGATATACATGTAGCCTAATGAAAGAATATAGCTAAATAGTAGTTCCAAAGAAACACCAAGGTTACATGTAAACTTCTCAGTCTGCTTTATTATGTATTTGAAATAGTAGTATCTAGGGGCCCTATTTATGGATCAGGGCCTCCACTGTGGGAGATGTGTTTCTATACACATATTTGCTATGCTACTTTAAGGGAGATTCAAAATTGATCATGCTATAAGACTGCAATTTCTTCCATTAACAATTTAAATCATACTTCATACCTGAGGGATATTTCATACATTTATAAACACAGTAGCACTGAAATATTGTAACAGAGGTTGGTTGCAAATTAAATATATTCCCCTAATGGTAAAGGGAATTCTCTTTGACCATTTAACTACTGTTCTAGTCAGTCTCTCTGGCAACAACTTCTGTTGTCTCAAGGCTTGAATTTGAAAATCCATACTTGTACAAATACTTCTGTTGACTTAAATGGGACAATGCCTGTGAGCAATGGGCTCCAGGCTCCAGACTCTACCCATCTAGATATTGTGTATTCACTTAAAGCATGTCAGTTTGTGCAACAAACAGTGTATGAAGTTATGTTCTTGTCTTTTCCATTACAAGGATACTAAAGTGATTAACTAGCTTGCTGGAAAGGAAAAACAATGTAAGGTGCACAGCACCAGGGCTAAAGGTCACAAGACAATGAAAGTAGTTACAATCAATGTTAGACTTCCAGTTAATTATATGTTCTCTACTACAGCAATAGGACAGTAATCAGTACTGTTATGAATCTTTTTCATCTTTAACCTAATAAGCCTATGGTCCTAATAATGGGGGCTGGTGACATCACAAATGAGAAAGCATTGGTTTACTATGGTCACTACAGACCTTCCACCTGTAATTATAACCTGATACTACACACTGCACATATAAAGGTAATTAACTTGTATTTCTAAAATCTCTGTATACACTGGATTCAGTTTATTAGCAACTTTTGTTCCTAGCAAAAAGTTGCCATGGTCTGGAAGTTGCCAATAAGCAGAAGACAGGTTTGTAGGGCTGCAACCAGGGTGGGACATGTTTTCCTGGCTGCAAACCTGCCTGCAGGCACAGCAGTAGTGTGTGTGTGGGGGGGGGTTGGG